AAAATACTAAAATTCATATCGTCATTTTACATACATATGCGCTATAGTTTTAAAATAAGTTATTAAATGTTTTAAGATGTATATTTAATCATTAAGATGTGTAGGATATATATACATATATATAATGTATTGTAAATAAAATTTTTATTTATAAAAAAAATCAAACATTACTTCATAATTACATATAATTGCATTATAAAAAAATATTTGATTTAATTACATATATCAGACTTGTACATTACATTATACATTAGATAAATTCCATTTTATTTCGGAAATCAGTGTTATTTCAAACAAATTCATGTTGTAAATAAAGTTCTTGAAAACAATATATTATTATAAAAAAAAAAAAACAAAATATTAAAAGTTGTTTGTTGGATTAATTAAGTTCACATTTATCGTATAAATAAAATAACATATCCACTTTTATATATAGTTTATATATGCCATATTAAACTGAAATAAATGCTAAAGATGATTTTGGGGTCCAAGAAAATAAACAGGAATAAAAATCTACCAGAAAATTGAGCTTCTGTTGTGAAAAACTCAATATCACAAAATTTTATTCCATTAAAATTTTTTTTGTATGTAATGTCCGGTTTTTTTGAATAGATATTTGTCTTAGAAATGAAAATTATTGGCACAGCTAATGCAAAAATAAAAAACAAATTAAATAAAAAAAAATTTTCGATAACAATTAATATGAAGTGGCCAAGCTCTTCCTCTGTTTAATAACAGCTACTATTTGTTTTGAAATCGAAGAAATCAATCTTTGTGTGATTTTGCCACTTTTCAGCAGTGCCACCTTCAGTTCTGCCTTTGTTGTTATAATGGGCTTCTTTAGACATCTATCCAATTCTATATATGCACAACCAAGGCACATCTTAAACGGATTTTGGAGAAATGATAGATAGATGCCGCCATACCAATCGTTTGTGCATTCTGCAGCGTTTTAAGGGAGCGATTTCGTTGCAAAGCACACAGGCCGACCTGTGTATTTTCAAATGCCTCAAAAGCAGCAATTGGAATATTTTAGACCCATTTTAAAAGACGATAAATAGTTTCTATATCTCGCTACCTTATCGCTCGCTGGTAGATGGATGATACCGAGTGCTTTTTGTCACTACTTTGCATCGTAGTCTTAAATACTGTACTAAGTTTCATAAAATCTCGGTTTTAATGAGAGTGTAATTATGTTCCACACAGCGTAAAAACCATAAAACGCAGCTATTTATGGCAGTCTCAGTTCTCTGGAGATTTCAAATAACAAAAAATCAAGCAAATCAAATTTTATAACTGCCGGCAACTGCCGAGACAGCTTTGAATTGTTCTTATGTTCTTATAGACAAGCTGTCATGTCTACCATTTGTGATATTTATTCTATCTGAGGCACCTCTGACATGTTTACTCTTCCATCAGAGACATCTCTGATTTGTTGTACGTTTTTATATACAAGTTGTTATGTCCAATTTATGTGGTTTTTAATCCATCTGAGGAATCTTATGGGTTGGATTATGTTCTTACATTCAAAGTTTAAGTAAATTTTATGTGATTTTTATACTATTCAAGACATCTCTGATGTGTTATACATTTGTATACGTAAACTTTCTATCCAAGGAAGCTCTGATTTATTAAAATTCTTTATACAAATTTTGAATGCTAGCTCTCTGTGTTTCTTATTCTTTGCGAGACATTCGGATATTGGTGTATTCTGGTACATTGTATAGAATACAACACAATTTGTTAATATGACATTATGAATTATGGTAAACTACTTTTTATAATATGTATGTACGTAAAACGATATAATCTATACGTTAGCCACATTTCAGTTTTTTAATCTGTTTTAAAAAAATAAGGTAGTTATGTTGTTATATTGCTTATGTATTTCATTTATTTTAATTATAAAATCTTTTCCTTTTTTTTTTTTATTTTGTTGTTGTTATTGTATCATTTCATTTTGTGTGGTTAGTTTAAATTTTATAATTTGTTAAATATTTATTTTATAAAAATATATAAGCGTCATCTTTGGAATTTTAATGAAATAAGAAAATGATATTAGTTAGTATTTAACACTTCTGCAAACACGCGGAAGTGCTATAAGTGCTAAGTGTTATTAATTTTACTTATAATTATTAATTTCATAGTTTGTAAAATTTGTCTTAAAAGTATATTTGTTTTTCAACGCTTAACGTAATTGTATTTTGTCGTCGTATAAGTTAAAGTCTAAAATTATATGTACCAATGTCATGTGGCGTACAAAAGAGTCTTTATTCGTAATTGAATAAGAATTTTAAATCCGTTTAAAATCCTTTTTTTTACTATTTTCTTATTATTTTTTAAATTACATTTATGTAATTTTTCATAAATATGATATATCTTTTTCTTTTTCTTTTAGGTTTTTTTGTTTTTTAATTATTATTTGTTCTCAAAATTTATATATTCACAACTTACAAAATAGTACTTATCACACTAATATCACACAAGCACGCACGCGCGCATAAAGTCTTCAATCACAAAAAAAAAAGTCTGTTTCATAGATCTCAAGCATAAATTCGTTCGTTCATTTCGTTATTGATAACAGAAAATCACACAAACAATTTGCATAGCAAGAGAATGAAATAATGATAACCAACCAAACAACTGATTTCTAATCTCGAGTTTCAAACATACGCAGAATCATGAAATCTAATCAAAAAAAAAATGTATATAATACTCAGTTAAGCTAATAGTACTATGATTCATACAATTACATACACACATACTGGGTTTTGACTGCGTGCACGCCGCTGCCACGGAATTGACTTATAAATAGTTAATTACAAAAGGGATCTCAATTTCACATTTACAAATTCTGTTAATTTCGCATACACAGCATCCATTATGAATGTTGTTCATTTAGTATCCCCAATATCGATAATGGTTTCTATTCATTTAGCATCCACAACATCCATATCCGCAATTACTGTTACTGTACATTTGACACCCACAACACCAGCACAACATAATGTTCATCATTCATTAAGCATTCAGAGTATCGGTGATGGATTCTGTTCATTTGATTTTCATAGTGGATGTTGTTCATTTGGTTTTCACCGCACCCATAATGAATACTGTTCAATTAGTATTTACAATATGCAAAATGCTGCCGATAATGGATTCTGTTCATTAACGTCCATAATTGAAACTGTTCATTTAGCAACGACAATTGATTCTGTTCATTTAGAGTTCATAGCATCCATAATAGATTTTGCTCATTTCGCATTTATAATGAATACTGTTAATTAATTATTCACATCACGCATAATGAATACTGTTCATTTGACATCCGCAACCTTGGATACTGTTCATTTAGCATCCACAGCATCAATAATGGATTCTGTCCATTTTGCATATATAATGGATACTGTTCATTTACCATTTACAGCGATTTATATCCATAGTGAATGTTGTTCATTTAGCATCACAGCATCTATAATGAATATTAATCATTTAACATTCACAACATCCGTAATGGATACTGTTGATTACTGTTCATTTAGCATCCTCAGCATCAATAAGGGATTCTGTTCATTTAGCATCTATAATGGATACTGTTCATTTACCATTTACAGCCATTTACATTCATAGTGAATGTTGTTCATTTAGCATTTACATCCATAGTGAATGTTGTTCATTTAGCATCACAGCATCTATAATGAATATTGTTCATTTAACACTCACAAGACCCATAACGGATACTGTTCATTTAGCACATTCTCAGCATCAACAATGGCTTCTGTTCATTTAACATCCATAATGGATTCTTTTCTATTTCATCATAGCTTCATCATAATGGGTTCTACTATTTTATCATCCACAGTTTGTGTCCTATTGTCTTTGTGGCGCGTATGTTAAATCTGTGACTATAATTGATATTAACTACAAAAAAAAAATATATTTATCAGTGCTTATGATCAACATAAATATAATGGTTGTGCCTGTGTTATAAAATTTATCAATACGAGTATATGATTAATCCACACATATATAACATATATATATATATATATATAGGTAATATTATATTCTCGTATTATACAAAAAAAAAAAAATATGAGATTAATATAGAAAATAAAATGTGTTTTTAAATGTTTGAAATTAAGATTGTTTTTTTTTATTTCTATTGACTACATTTACTACATACATTTTGTTTTTATTAAAAATTTTAAGTATTTTTTATTATTTATTTATTTATTTTTTTTGGCAGCATTGGCATTCATTCAAAATTACTTCTACACCCGCTCAAATACTCAATCACACACACATATATATATTATACCATTTGCAATATGCACAACTACACACACATACACACGCACCTTCATACGTGCACTTTTTTTGTAAGTTTTTTATTGTTTTATTTATAAATATTTTTAACATTTTATGTTTTATGAAAATTATTTGCTTAAATTTTTAAAAAAAATCGGTTGAATTTAGTTTTTTTTTCTTTTTTTTTTTTTTTTTTTTTTTTTTTTGAATAGCATATTTTGGTTGTTTGTATGTTGATCTAAACTTAAAAAATATATATTATTATTATTATTACTGCTAGTTAAAGTAATAAATAATAAGCAAATCTATGTTATTGCTTTGTTTTTACTTTACTTTTGCTTTTACTTTATTTTTGCTTTTACTTTGTTTTTGCTTTGTGTTTGAATTCTGTTTTTGTTTATAGCTAAACTTAGATGACAAATAATATTTTGTATACATTTGTAAAGAATATAAGAATATGCAAATATTTCTTAAAAATGGAACATCGAAAACTGTATCTATAAATAATTACACTATTTTAATTACTATAACATATTTTGTTTTTGTTTCTGTTTTTGTTTTTGTTTTAATCAATACAACATAAATTTTTGAGGCCTAGTAAATAAAAATTTTTTTTAAGAATACAAACACAATGCTGAACGATTACATACGTAAGGATGATTCTTAGCTGGATTGATTTGCCTGTACACATTTGCCTTATAACGAATTGGTCTGTTACGTGGGTTTGTCTCACTTTTTCAAAGTACGTTTGTTTAATTATAAATTTTTTTTTAAGTTCTTATTATTCTTAAATTATAAAATTTGTAATCTAAAAAGAAATATGAAAAATATGAACAAAAAGAAATAGGAGTTAAAAGAATACAAAAAAAATAAAATAAAATAAAATAAAAAATATAATAATAATAATAGTTGCAAAAAACCTGAAACTATAGTTTATTAATTTTCCCACTGTTTTTTTTAATAAGTATTGCGTATGGGATTAAAAATGATATCATATATTTAAGACCAGTCTATATAAAAAAAATTATTTAAATATATACCGCCCCATCCTACTCTGACATATTGTCTTTCTTTTTGGGAACACTGCGAAAAAAAACCAAAAACACAAAAAAAACAACAAAAAAAACGGTCAGGTCTACGTCCCAGAGCCACTCGTCACCTACGACGACCAAGTACCGTTCAACACCTCCTACATAGACTCCACAAGCAGGTCCCGGCGGGTTACAATAACAAAAAAACAAAAAACAAAAAACAAAAAAAAACAAAAAAACAAAAAACAAAAAAACAAAAAACAAAAAAAAAAAAAAACAAAAAAAAAAAAAAAAAAAAAAAAAAAAAAAAAAAAAAAAAAAAAAAAAACAAAAAAAAGAAACACTTTCGAAATTATGTAGAAAGATATTCCACCCTGCACTACTCTGACATATGATCTTTCTTTTTGGGAACCACTTAAAAATGTATCCGAAATTTCTTAGATCCTGATAGCAACGAAAGCAGTTTAAATATCCTAAAAATTGAAAGAAAGCACAACCTCACACAACCCCACTCACTATTATCTTGGTTGGTAGCAGTGGCAGGTGATTAGATAACTTCCATGTACCTCAATTAATGATTTTCTACCGTTTGCTACCACATTACTCGCAAGAACCCTAGTATAGAAGAATAGATACTAAATCCATCCCGCCGAATTTAGATAATTTAATAGGTTTTTCGTCTTCACCGATAAAGAGTCTGATAAACTATCAAAGAACCTATATCTTCCTAACAACCTATATCTGACTATTATCTTATGCTCAACATTTTATCACTTCTCATTAACTTTAAATTACCATTTTCAATAATTTTATTTAAATAGTTTGTCATATAAATCCTTTAAGCGTTTTTTAAAATATTATTTAATTGAGTACGTAATGTGAAATTTGGAACAGAAATGGGCTTCCTTACACACAACTAAAATATAAGTTTTTTATCCTACTGCCATGCTTGCACCACATGCTACTGGCGTACTCCGATTTGGAAGTTTTGAACGGCGGCACTTGGTCGTTGAACTTGATAATTAGCTTCAGGGCCGTTCTTGAAAGCCTGCTTGATAGATCTTCGCTGCTTGATAGATCTCATGTGATTTCTATATGGAAACTATGAATATTTTCAATTATTTTTTGAGCAACCTTTTGAAACTTAGTCTTTAATAAACACTTAAAGAAGAAGAAAACAAAAGCCCAAAAATAAAAACAGCCAAATTCAAGCGTCATTCGGTTCACGTGTCATAATGTTTTTTCTATATCTTTAACATTTCTACATTTCCTTTTAAATTTAGTCACAATCAAAAGGTACAAAAATAGTAGTAAAAATCCGGAATTAACAATACAGATATGACATTCTACATAACATGCATTTTCGTCATAGCCCGAAAAAGCCAATTTTGACGTGCCCGTGACGCTCCACATAACATCGCCCTAGTTCATTTGTTCTTTAGCTGTTTGGGACTTTAATGTTCTAGGTGGTTCTTTAGCTCTGCTAACACAACATGCCATTATTTGCGCTTAAGTGGAGTTTTGGTGCACAAGGCTGTCACTTTAACCTTATCTAATCTGACTACGAACACTTCAAAATTAGAGTAATTTTTAAACCCATACGCATAACTACGATTAGTTGTATATATATGTATATATATATATTTAAAAAAAAAAAATTAATAAATAAAATTAAATTAAAAAACCATTAAAAAAAACAAAAACTTATGTATAGGTTATTTTATTATATATTGTGAATTGATTTGGTAAGATACAGAGAGTTTCTACGTTAATATACAAAATATATTTAAAAAAAAAAAATATTTTTGTTATTTATTACTACCCCTGGGGTAGAGAATGACCAAAATGTACAGTGGGAAAATTAAAAGTGTTTCAATTTTTGAATTACAAATTAAAAGCAGTGCTTTAAAAAATCTTAGCTTTTCGTATCATTCATTATTTTTAAAAGTGAAATCATAAAACTTTCATTTGTGTAAAACGCCAACATTTTCTTGAAATTTTGTTCATTTTCAAAGTGCTATTCTGACAAACGAAAAATATAATCAATTAATTTATAAAAACATTTTTTAAACGACAAAAAAATTATATTAAAAATAAAATTTTTCTATTATGTTTAGTAAGGAAATTTTAAATAAAATTATATATATATATATAAATATTATTACTGCAATTAAAAAAATATTATGTACAAAGTTGTGTTTGTTGTGACATTTGGGATAGAATAGTTGTATTCACAAAACAAGTCATTATTTTATGTCTGCTAACTTTTGTCAATAATTGTCAGAATAGCACTTATAGACTATATTTAAAAACTAAAAAAAAAAAATACAATAATTAAATTACAAATAATAAACCACAAAACCTTAGATATTTGTTTAAACCATTGCTTATTAATTTAAATAAAATGTATACTATACATATATATGTGTATATATATATAATTAATAAATTATTTTAAAACTTACCTTAAAAATGAAAAACAATTACTAGACTAAATTTTATATCAATTGAAACGATGTTTACTGAGGAATAGAATGGCTATCGCGCAACTTTTTTATTTCTTTTGTTGCCCAATTGCAAAGAGATTTCGTTCTTTGTGCCTTTGATCTTTTACCATCCGCTAGAAATTGTGATAAAGCAACATCATCAAGTAGTGGATACAATCTAGGACCAAACGCAGAACACAAATCACCAATGAAACCAGCAGCACTTGCTACCATTGACTCAGAATTTTCACCTTCAACGGCAATAGATTTAATAAAATTAATAACATGTGCAAGATGAGGTTCAAGATGCATCACGTTTGGATGTGGAGCCTGTTCAGTGCCTTTTAAACCTTGTATTATTCCTGTATAAGCCTCCAACACACTTTCACGCAGTTCACTTATATACTGAATCATATCGTAACTGCTTTGATCAACCTATTTATAATATAAAACAAATTATTATTATTCTTAGATTATTCATTGGAATTGATAAAAGAAAAATTGATCAAATTTGTTTAGTTAAAAGTTAACCCGGGCACTACACATCTGCAAATTACGAGTACTTTTGTTCCTATTTTTTAACTTATACATATATACAAATTTTTGCAATGAAAATTTTTTATACAACTTCACAGCAAGTTTTCCACCAGCTCGAAAAGTTTGTCTATGTCAGCAAAAAAATAAAAGCAAAAAGTACCAAAAACTTGCTAGTGTAGCCTCAGTATTAATTTTTAAAAAATTATCTACGAAATAATATATGAATTCATAGCATTGTTTTATAGTTAATTAATTATTTTGTAATCAAAATAAAACAATATGACAGCTACCGATAACACAGTTTTATATGTGAAACATACACATTTCAATGAATAGTCATAGTTTTGTTTTATTTTAAAAATCATATGTATAATTTTATAAATAAATATTAAATATACTACTAAGAGATTTCATTTTACACATACCTGAAGTGTGGAAGCAGCTCGCAACATATCTAATACAACATTTAAATATTTGACAAAACCTCCCCCAATGCTTAAGGCAATATCACCAAAAGCTGAAAGAATTTGTGGTTTTACACTTCGATGTAAATTTGGTTCAGATAAATTTGCCAACATTAAGGTCATAATTTCATCGCAATAAGGCAACATAAGATGTTTTAGAGCACGACATATATCGCCAGTTAAACCAACTGCTGCGCAACATACTTGATATTCTTGATGATTTTTTAAGCCCATATAAAGGAATGGTTTAAAAGCCTCCATATATTTACCAAATTTAAATCCAAGTAGCTCGACTAGTGTCGATACAGCAAGGAAAGCGTCTTCTTGTACGCCACCCGCGCGACCAGATGCTGTACTGAACATTGTTAACAAAGCAGTCATAATGGCATCGGAAATTTGTGGTGCATCTTCTTCGCGTACCTTTCGCAATACACTCTGCAGTGTGGCACAAAGTAAAGATTGTAAGTCATTAAATTGATGACGATCAGTGTGACTTGAAATGTGTGATTCCATTTGCAAAACATGATTCAAACGTTCAAGAATAACGATTGTAGTACGTTGAACTACAATATAACAATCTAAAGGTGAATTCTTAATCATATCCATTAAAGCTTCATAAGCAGCAGCACGTAAATTTGCTTGAGCTCCATCTCGACGATCAGTTGTTTCTAACAGTTGTGTAACAATATATTCGAAATATGGTGATAAGCAATAAGTTTTTGGAGTTCCGCCATCAACAACTTCAGCTGATTCATATGCGGCATCGGAAAGTCCAATAAAAGCCCAACATACATTAGCAGCAACACGCGCTTCGGCCTTTAAACCCTTTACAAAACATTCAAGTAATGGATTGAGGTAAGTTTCGTTAATGGCAGCTTCGGGTATTATCTAATATAAAATAAGAATAAATATAATTACTTTTTTTTAACAAAATTTTTTTGATATTCTTTACATACATCGCAAACACGTCCAAATGTCCAAGCTGTTGTATCACGCACCTGAACACTTTCATCATACATAAGACGTATAAGTGTTGGCATTGCTTGTTCAACAAGCGGTTTCAATGTATTTGCTTCAAGACCACTTAATATTGAACCGAATGACATCACAGCAGCATCACGGAATCTCCAATTCGGAGATTCGATATTATTTTTAATGAATGGAAACACATGAGGCACGATGTCATCCTCACAGCACGTTGCCAATAACATTAAACAAACAGATGCCGCTTTTGGTGGACTCCAATTATCTTCATCATCGCATTCATCTTGTTTTGTTAATTTTTCTACCAAAACTGGTGTAAGAAATTGTAATGCACCACGAGCATAATGCTTTGAAACACGTTGAGGTGGACGCCCAGCTTCATTAGCTTCCTGATTTTCTATTGCAAGATCTATTTCTTCATCGCTGACGTTTGACCAGAACTCAATACCTTGTAATGAAACTTGATCATTATCTGACTTCATAGCTTCTAATGTAATGGGAAACAAAGCTTGAGCCATATAAGGTTCCATATACTGATAATATAATGATAAAATTCTAACAAGACATTGTAGAGCTGCAACACAAATCTGTGTGTCGACGGATTGAGTTGCTTCACATACCACCTCCATAATAAAATTGCGTTCATTATCTTGCTCAAAATTAGCTTTAGTAAATTCAAGAGAATTCAATAGAGCTGTTGTGGCAGCTAAACGAACATGTACACTTGGTTCCTGTTTGCGCATACCATGAATAATAGCTGTTAGAATAGCATTCGATTGATGTTCAAGAACACCAAAACGTATATCTTGACAAATATAACCGATTGCTTCTAAAGCTGCTTCACGATCCATTTCACTAGAGCCAACTGTAACAACCTTGTTAACCAAAGTTTGTATTAATAAGCCCCAACGGTTTAGCGGTAATTCTGCGACTGCAACATAAGCCACACATTGTGCAGCACACGACGGACGTGTATTTTCGGTACCCAATGCAGCAAGAATCTAATCCAGTGAAAATAGTTAATAGTTAATAGTTGTAATTATAGACAAAAGAATTGTTCTGATTTCTATTTATTGTAAAACTTACATTTTTCTTTATGTATTCTCTAATATCTTCTGGAAACTGATGCCAACGTTGTTGATATTGTTGTATTATCATTTCATCTTTACTAGTCAAGTGGTTCTTAAGTTGCAAACCAGCTGCCATTCGAGCCACAGGACTATTGCTTATACCAACTACAATATCAGATAAAGCTTTAAGGAACTCCGGCAAATTACTATCCGCAGCATGCTCCAAATAGTTCTTCGCTGACATAAGCTCATTTTTATCTAGAGAATAAAAAATAAAGAATTCAGTTATTATTAATTACTGCAATAAAGAAGATCAACTTCTACTGAAAGGAATTATATAAATGAACAAAACATGAGATTCCAAACATTATACCGATTTATATAGCTTTCGCACTAATATAAACAAGGGGTATATTTAAAATGTTCCAAGACAACAGTCTATCAACGAACTATCAAATCTCAGAATGGTTACAGCCTTCTCGGAGAGGTATGCAGATCTGAGGTCAATTATTGCTTAGCCTGATGAAGTAATAAACAATAATGCAATCAAGGCGTAAAGAGGAGTTTTGAAAATACCTCGAGTAAAGAAAGAGTAAAAGTGCTCAAGTGCACTGGCTCAAAGAGCTTCAACATAATAATTTAATTTAAAATAACAAAATTTAAATAAAAATATAACAAGGAAAAACAAATATATTTTAGACATTCATAACACCGTATATGATATATATTTTCGTAATAAGTTGAATCGGAATAATCGGTTCTGGGATATCTGTTGTTCTTGTTGAAGCCCACAAGGATCTATAAAGCAGATAACAAAAAAAAGGGATTACAAGACGTATACGTGGATTACGATTATTGGTAGTGAAAGAGACTAGCGTCTTTTTTTAGGAGTCAGAATAAATTGGGAAATTGTTTGGATTTAAATTGAAGTGAACCAGAATCAAGACGGAGCTACCTAGCAACTTTTAATGGGCGACTTGGATATCTGTATATCTATCTCTGATGGATATATATACATATTTTCGACGATGGAGTTTGTAAGTAGTTGAATATAATAAAATGAATTGTTATCTTAATAAACATAGACATTTTTATGGAAATTTGTTTACAGATTTGAGTAGGACTTTTATGTTAATAAAGTACTTAATTTCAAGTATTTTTAAAATGATCACATTTATCATAAATTTATATTTTATATTTAATATGTATGTAAAATACTTTAGTTAACAAAATCAGCATTATTATATTTTAATGAAATTGTTATGTGTTTAAATTAAATAACTAATTTTAGTACATAGTCCAAATTATCTATTTAAAGGATATAGAAGCTTAGATAGACCAAAGCTAAGTTTTTATTACTCGTTTTATTTATAATTAGATTTTTGTTTTTAACATTTTATCGTCTGTAATTGTATACTTTTAACTTGAAAAAATATTTGTTATTGCGATCTATAATCAATTAAATGTTTACGATGCAAACTGCTGTGTTTGTGATATTTTTGCCCATTTTCAATGGAACTAAGGTGTCCAGTAACAAAAAAAATAACGATAAACAGCTGCATATATATTTTATATCAATAAACAACTGTCTGGAATTTAAAATAATTTTCTAATCCATATTAAATTTACATAGAATCAAATTTCCACATATATGATTCATAATATATATATTTAAATTGTTTAAAGCAATACGTGCATATATATATATTTAATGGTTTATAAAATTTCTTTATACTTTATTTTCAAGAATAATAATTTGTAGATCAAATAGTTCATATATTTTTAAAGTTAGAACAAATTTAAACCTTTTTTTGTCTAATATACAATATTAACAATAAAATTAAAAAATATGTAATGGGATCCTAGAGATAGTGTGGTCTATATTGCTAAACTATTCTCGAGTTTTATAATTAACATAGACCAAAAATATATCATTCTTAAAACCTTAATTATGTAATATACATTATTAAAAATAAAATTAAAAAGTATATAATGAGGTCCTAGAGCTGGAGTGGTCTACATTTCTATACTACTCCAAAGTTTTTTATAATTAACATAGACCAACTATATATCATTCTTAAAATTTGAATGATCCACTATTAAATTATTACAACATAATTGAAAAGTATATATCAACATATTAACATATTAACAATAGAAATTCGAGATACTACTCCCGAGTTTTTTATAATTGACATAGACCAACTATATATCAATTTTAAAATTTTTATTTTGTCCAATATACAATATGAACAATAAAATTGAAAAATATATAATGGAGTCCTAGAGATGGTGTGGTTTGCGTTACTACTCCCGAGTTTTTTATTATTGACCATCTATCTATTATTCTCAAAAGTGTGTTTTATTTCAATATCCGAAATCAATATATTATAAACCATAAATATATATTTTGTATAAAACAGCTTTAGCATATTAATTACCATCAGCTTACTCTATACAAACACGTCTTTATAACAACATTTTTATTATTTTTATTGTGAAAAAGAATTTGATTTTGGAAGAAAATAAATAAATAAATAAAAATAATTGTTAATCACAATAAGTGATTTAAACAAGAATTATGTTTCTGAAACGGTCAAAGACGGTCCCTTTTGGATTAGAGATAACAATAAAAAGCCAACAAAAATTGATTCTTGTGAAGTCCCTTTGGAGGGTGTTGAACAGAGTGGCTCCGGGACGTAAAACCTGACGTTGTTGGAACCTTTATGTGCTTACAGATTTCAGCGTGTTACTACAACAACAACACACGATTCTTGATTTATTGTTGTAAACCATATGGGAGGGTTGGGCTTGACTCCCAAGACGTATACCACTTGCGAAACTATAATTGCTCATTCATTGTATACCTTATGCTGCAGAAACTTATCTGGGCAATGAGCACAATGCTGTAATTATGAGCTGAGGTTCTCAAAATACAGATATTTATACTATGCGAACTGAAATTAAATATTTAAATAAATATTTAAAACTTACTTTCAATTTACAAAAGTATATGTAAGTAATATAATTTGGCGATTTAAAACTAAAGGTCATTTCGAACGAAAAATTGACATAAAACTCTATACAAAAAAAAAATGCTCCCCCAAATTGTGTCATTGTAGAGAATTTTCTTTATAGAGTTCTTGGTCAGTTTTTCGTATAAAATTGAGATTAGTACCAGGTTTTATTAGCAACTGTTGCTTGTTTTAAAAAATTGCCAGTGGTTTTCGGATTCAAATGGAATTGAGAATTTGTGGTGTTTATTTGAGGGAGTAGTATAGGAACTTAGTATGTTTGCATGAAATAAAAAACTGTTGAAACTTTAAAATATATAATAATGTATAAGACCTCATCTGTATGAAAAAAAACGCCATATCTTTGAAGAACTAACTATCTTTAAACACAGATAATGCATAATGATTGTCAGATAATATATTATTTCAAGAGAATGAAACGAAACCACTTCTTCGGTGAAATTATATTTCGAAAAATTTAGTTAATATATTATTTTTTTAAATACTTGTTTTTTACTATTGAGCTACAATTAAATATGAATTTCTAGTTTCTTATATGGAGAAATCATTATTTATACTAAGATGAACAATAAAAAAAAAACAAGTGGATTAAAGAATTCTCATATTGTCAGTGCACATATTGAAATAATGATTTCTGTTTCTTATTAAAATATTTATTATTTATTGTACTTAAATCAAACATATCAAATATTGTTTATTAAATCTTCATTGCATTACCATTTTCAGCTGTCAAATGCAGCTCTTATGACATTACTTGAGATTTAATTATATTTGCGAAATATCGTTTTCGTTTGATTTCCCGGAAAAATCAACATATGGATTAGACTTTTCCTGGAAACTCCCCGCATCTTATTTAAATTTATTTAGTTTTTTAAATTTCACATGCACATATGTAAAAACTTTAAGCCGGTAATTTTGAGGTTATGAATAATTTTTTTTTTTTTTCACCAAAGAAAATTTCTGAATCCAATAAATTTCCTTTTCTTTTAATATTGTTAATCTTATATTTTTAACAATTCACATAATAAAAATTAACTTCACCATCGTTCTATCGAAAATATTGGAATGAGATTTGATATACTTATATTTGCACTTTTACTTTTGCAAAATTCAACAAAAATTGTACGAGACCTCAAGACATACGCCATTGAAATATATTTTACTTTGTTTTTTTTTTTTTTTTTTGATATAAAAATAACCCATATGGAGTAATTGGAGGATGCGTTTCACTAAAGATAAAAAAAGAACTCACCTGGTGACACAGTCTTTTCCAGCACCTCAATTAATTGCATCGTAATTTGTGGATTCATTTTACCGCTTTTTTTTTGCAAATTTTTATAGCGTCACTAAAATTACTTGCTCAGGAATGTTGCTTCACTTCGACTCGTATTTTCAAACACAGACCAAGTCAAGCAAAATAAAATGCAATTAGTTGAAAATAAAGTTTTTAAACTTATATATTCAGATATATTATTTAAAAACTTATTACGAAATTCCTTTTGTTGTTTAAAACTTTACGTCAGTCAAAACGGACAAGAAAAATGATTGATTTTCTTTTACACTTTATTCGTCTCTCTTACTGCGCTGCATGAACTTAGATTTTTGTTATGTTGATCGCCTCCTTGCTTGTAGACAAATCGTAGTGAAAAACTACACTCTTATATTATTTGAATTATATTGTTAACGTAAAATATTGCTTTTAATTGGACTCCAACTAGTATCAACTCTTCGTACGCGACAATCCGATGCAACTTTACTTCCACATGGAAGAATGACGAATGGCAAATGTCTTCGTAATAACTTCGTGATTAACGCTTTTGGTTTCAATTAATCCGCTTTGCACAAATCAAGTGTTGCCACATCATAAATAAAAAAATGTAGTAATAAAATTTTTAATACATTTTTGGAAAAAATTCGCATATGTAATATGATCTAGGCCGCGTGCGAATTTGTATAAATTGAGGTAAAGTAAATTAAAAATTCCTAAGAATTTTTTGCACTGCACTTATATTAATATTTATTTCTTTATTTATAGTACTTATTTATTATTTTTGGTTAAAAATTTTCAAATTTATCTATTTATTTATTAAACAGCTTATAAAACTTTCACAATTCACCCTACTCGAAATTCTGATAAATTTGCTGCCATACCGACATAAATCACAATCAATTCAACAAATGTACTACAGCATTTATAGTTATTCATATAAAAATGTACTTATGAGCAAAGAGGCAATTTTTACGTGAGCCTAAAATACGCTCATGAGCGTGGATCCAAAATTGGCTCATGAGCGTGACCACGGTTGCCACTTATGGTACTTTAGTACCAAAATTGGTACTTTTTTTTTTTTTTTTTTCGTTTGGTACTCATTTTCAAAAACTGGTACATTTTTGACGACCCAATTTTATTGTGGATATTTCCAATTAATTTTTTCTATAAATGCAACTTTGCACTATTTTATATTTTGTTCATTTATAACACTATGAAAAACACAGAACGAAAAACCAAAAAGGTCCAAATAAATTTTGGACCTTTTTTTACAGAAATGGTACCTTTTTAAACCAATTTTGGTACAGAAAAAAATTTTCAAGTGGCAACCGTGAGCGTGACTCCAAAATTCTCTCATATTGAAGAGCTATTCACGAGCGTGAGCCTTCAATTTACTCATATTTAAGAGCTGCTCATGAGGCCTCACGAACCGAGATCTCACGAGCTCAACTTTTCAATAAAAAGCGATTTATTAGTTTAATTGCTTTATTTATTTTTATATACGTTACTTGCTATGTGAAAATATATAATTTGAAATTATCTTAACTTATTACTTTTTATAATAAAACAATATAATGAAACAATAATACATTGTTTATTGCATTTTAAGCAAATTGTTTAATTACATTCATGTAGAACTTTGAAATATTTATTTTTTTATTTTTAAATTTTTCGAAACACAGTATAATATAGTTTAAGTATCTTGACTTAATATAAAACGATTAATTAAGTAAATGCACAGAATTCAAATAAATAGTGGTACGTGCCAAATTGTGCAATGAAGACAACAACGATACCATACATTTTTTATTTTCTAGTACACACCACCTTCTTCACTTTTAACTTAATACCGGCTCTTGCTCACGAGCGTATGAATGAGTTATGAGCAGAATGAGCCGCTCATGGGTATCCGAATACGAACTCTGCGTATGAGGTTTAATAATTGTTAGCGTAAACATTATATTATACCTATAATTCTATAGCTTAGCGTACATATATATATACATATCTTAGGTATATTGTAATTAAATGTTACATATATTTAGAACAATAAAACATAAGAATTCCATAATAAAATCGCACTGAAATATTAAAACTTACCAGTGCACATGAAAGGGCGATACTGTAATACTTTTATCAAAAATACTGTTTTAACAGTTTTGACTTAAATAAATAATAAAACTTTGTTACTCGATTGACGAGCGTTTGATAACTTCTTAACGAATCAGTTTTATGAGGCACACATAAATAACTCTCAAGTATTCGGTAGTGTCAATTCAAATTTAAATAAATGTGAATTTCGTCTTAACTCGATGCATAGATGTACATTAAAAAACCGACTCTAATACTAAGTTTGCACTATATTACTATTGAATCTATTTATTATATTTTCATATGGATTTTGTATGAAAAATTTTTCATATATTCCTACCTATTTCTCAAGCTAAGTACATCAATCCAAACTTAAATTACTTTTAAGTTAAATTACTCACGCAAACACGGTATAGGTGCTAATAACACTTTTATTTTGCTAAAGGTACTTCATTTAATTTTACTAAAAATAAACATTATATGTAAATATTGCCTAAACACCTCAAGATTAATCGTATGTGTATTTAAAATGTTTTTTGTTAACAGCAACCCTAAAAGTACTTTTCATTTTTGTGCGTAAACACTCTTAAATAATTTTTGAAATTCGTTTTAAATTAGATTTAATATTCGCACAAACATAAACAAAAATAACAAATTCTAACAAGAATTCGAATTTCAATATTTCGTTTACTTTTTTAGATTTTGAAAAGTACACGTTGATAGCAATTTGAAAAGCAAATAAAGACATATGTACATATAATTGTAAACTAAATTCATAAAACTTGTATTTTTTTAAAACGTTTGCATATCTTATAATTGTACGCTTTTTTACTAATAAAGTTGTACTTACATTAATTATGAAATCAAATATGCTTGATAAAGTTATATGTATATTGCAAATAGAACACTGTATGTCAATTTGTTGTTTTCTTTTTCTTCGCATTCATCAGTATTTCGCTTCTACTTGACAACAGAACTGAATTTAACCCAACCGCCAAAATAAAAAACACGAATAGTAGATAAAAAGAAAATAAAATCCATAAGGGTTGCAAGTACCTGGAAAAAAAATAGTGTTTAATACAATATATAAATATAGTAGCAAGCTCAAATATATATTAAATTTTATATAAATTCATTCATATAATATATATTCATATTACATGGTACAGATATATGTTTCAGACTTTTTTATACGTGTTTAATTTTTACTATTATGAGAGTCAAATTATTTAGATAATTTGATAAGTGTCATTAAGATGCTTCAATAATAACTTCTAATTATTAAGTAAATGATTTTAATTAATATATATTATAAAATTAGTTTAATGCACATTTTCACATTAAATCAAATGTCAAATAAATGAAATCAAATATGCTTCCATATAGTAAATAAATGGTGTATTGAAATGTTTTTTTAGTATAATTTATTAAAATATTTCCTATATGACATGTGATATAATATATGTCTCTACATATTAAGTGACATTCTAATAAAGATTGTTTGACTTATTTCCCTTTTGATTTCCTGATTAATATTAATTAGATACCAATTTAAAGTCGATATAAGATACTAAATGTCTGTCAGTCATTATGTCTGGTTCACTTTAAAATGAAAACTTGCAATAAAAATACTGCATTATAAAAAAAAATTATATTATATCTTATTATTATAAAAATTTAAATTTATAAAAATTTATAATTATCATTTAAAATGATTAATTTATGTAATGACCTTTAGTGAAAAAAATTTTACAATATTTCGTTATTTTATTGAATATATAAACAAGAATTTAATGGATATAACAATAAGAGGTGTGAATGTAAAATTTTGTAATATAATTTAAAGATATAAAAAATAATTAATAAGACTTCATTACTTGTTGGATAAAAATTTCTAATTTCTTTAACCCTAATTATAATATTACGATTTTGTCGTTAATATACTAAGTATACAAATTGAAGACAATAGTTTTTTATAAAAATGTTTTAATTAAAAACTGTAGCTGTGATTTCAATTGTTTAAAAATTTTAAATTGAGTTCACTTTAAATAATAAGTTAGTATAATAAAATAAATTTGATTCTGTAAGGAGTTAAATTTATATAGTGCTCCATACCATGCCATATTATGGTATATAGAATTAGATAATTAAAGTGTACTAGTTTTGACCTAGAAAATAGAAAAAGTTAATGGGCAAACAAAAAGAGCTGATTTGTATAAATATTAAATTTAAAATTTGTAAGCAATTAAGAGTAATTGAAGTGTATAGGCAATCTACTAATATTTATAAACGTATTTCTTTTCTTCTTTATATAGCAAGTCAAACTCTGCATGAAATGTTAATATTTAACACTTGCTAAATTGTTAAATTCGAACAGTCAGAACAGATGTTGCAATTTTAAAAGTTTCATTAAGATTTCTTCAGTCACAAAATATACATTCACAGTATTTCCATTTAGAAACATAACTTTTTAATACCAGCATTTTTGGATGATTTTTGCATTATAAATAAAAATCGAAAAGGCCTACAATTTAATATACAATAATCATTATCAATAAGATTGTGCGACAATAAATTCTTTTAGTTGATTTTTCAAAGATATTGTGTTAATTTCCGTAATTCATATAATTCACTATATTATAATTCACTATAATTATTCAATTATACACTTGAAGAAATTTTTCAGTTAAAACTCAAATAAATTTTGTATAGTGTGAAATGACAGCTCGCTTTCACAGACTCTCTCAACTTACTAGATTTTGATTACGGGACCAGAGAATAATAATATACAAGCAACTATTTACTTAAATTTTGCAAGATGTATGAAAACAATTTAAATGCTTTAAGTTAAGAAATCTATTTTAGAACAGTTAGATAGCAAAAATGTGTAATATGTATATATTTTGACTATGAACTTACGGTAAAGACTAGTGCAGTGGTCTACTTGAATATTTTTTATTAAACATTTATATGCTCATTAGTCTATTTTGAAAGCTTAATGATTAGCCAAGAAATTAAATTAAAATATATAAGCTAAAAATGATTGGAACAATCGAATACCTGAGTCCGATGAATAATATTCCTAACTTAATTAATACGAAATATTAATATATATATTACAGTTATTACACTCATAATATATTGTTACTCTTAATATTTCGTTTGTCAACATTACAGAACAATACAGTTCTTTTACTCCCAGTAAAACGTTATACAGGGGTTTACATATCGAACTTTGCTGATAAAGGTCGACTTTGATTTCAAATCCAGTCACTAAAGCTGACTATGCCATTAAAATAATAGGACAACAAAGTTCGAACTTTCACTATAAATTAGCCTCATTTGAAACTTTTTTCTGAATACAGTGCTGAAAATAGTGAGTTATCAATATGTTTTTGGTATAAAAATCGCAAAATAACAGATTTTTGAAATAATATATTGTCAAGTTATAATGTCAAGTTAGCAACGTTGCTGTGGAAATTGGATTGTTATTTATGAATAAATTTTAAAAAAATGATTATTTGAACTCTTTCAAAAATATTTAAAAACATTGAAATGATATTTCTATTTGTGGAGCATATTTTCTATACTTTAGAAATGAAAGTTTTTTTATAAAACTTGAACTTTCCCGAAGCTTGCCTTTGACTTTAAATTTCATAAAATCGTAATCTTCTATTTTTGTGTTTTACATTGCCAATTACAGCTTAATTAATTTTCTATTAAGAGTATTTGCGTGCAAATTGTTGCCGTTTCTTGATTTTTATAAAAAAAAGGAAAACATCAATATTCATTTATGAACAATAAAGTTTCCAGCTGATTGCTCATCAACATATTAAAAAAAACAACATTTGTCCGAATGAAAACCCGAAACGATTATGTAAACGTTTAACGTTTGGGAATCAACTTTAGCAAAGTTCGTTCACTAAAGTTCGTAATGTAAACATGCTATAAGACAAACATTTATAAAAAATTGCAACATAAAATTTTGAAAGCCGTAATTTTTTCTTTTAAAGTTGTAAAAAAACAGCATTAAGTCTGGTTGAAAGGAATAGGCGTTACTCTTATAATATGTTAAATGTTTTTTTTTGACGTATGTTTTTTGTTGTGAATAATATGGATTATAAAAATTGTAAACATTTAAATAAATGAAAATAAAGCATTTTCAGCTTATATATTTAAATTCATATTTATTTGTTTTTGAACTTATTAGTAAATGTATTGCTCACATGATTTTAGCGGATGAGTAGAATTTCACATGTTTTCAGTGAGTTGATTCACAGACTGATTTTTAAATTTGACTGCACTAAAACTTTAAACGTAAAAATTTTTGAAAGTAAAACCTAACTCTATAGATTTTAAGTGCATTATTGTTGCTTCAAATGTGTTCTTTCAGAAGTTGCGAGAATTTTTTTGCTACTCTGCAAGAAAAAATTATGTTTATTGTAAAATTTTAGAATTTTTAATTCTGCTTAAGGTGTAGCCACACCAAAGCGAACGCTTGCGAGCGAACAAACACTCGCAGGTAATGATACTAACAAAAGTTTGTACGTTCGCAAGCGTTTGTTTTGGTGTGGATGTTCCTTTAGAATTCGGCAAATAGCAAAATTGCCATAGCTGTAAGCTTTATATATATCATTATATCAGTTTATAAATTTCAACTTTTATAAACTTAAATAATAATAAGAGTCTAATATACTACTATATTAGACTAGAATTAAGAAAATTGTACAATAGTTCATGTTATTGAACATACCCAATAAAAAAGTGCACGTATGATGCAGGGTGTTTTAAGTAACATAATTTGTTATGAAAGTATACGAAATACAACACTGCGTGAATTTAATAAAAAAAATGTATGAGTTCAGATGGTGACGTTTCTGTCATGAAGATAGAACTTCAGATCGTCTTGAAACGAGTAGGCAAATGTATATTTGTTATAGTATTTAATTTATTATGAGTGTTTTCACATTGGTTAACTAATATAATATATTGTTTATAACGAATTTAAATATTAAGCGGTTTTGTTGCTGGTGGCGTCAGTAAAATTGCCAAAAAGTTCTGCCTGAAAACACGCCGCTGCAACGTCAAGTTAGCCAAATTCATCATCGTCACCAATTAGAAACAAGTAAAAGAAAACAAAAAATATACTAAAGAGAGACGAACCGAACATATAGCGCTATGGCTCAGCTGCGGTGGAGTCCGCCAACGATATTCTTTGTGATACTACAAATAATTGGCCTAAGTCAACAATTTTATTTGCCAGGGCTAGCACCGGTCAATTATTGTAAAAAAAGTGAAGTTTCATCAATATGCGTTGTAAGTATAAAATTTTATTTAATTTGTGATGAAATTAAATTGTTTTGGTATAAATGGATAAATTAAAAAATATACTTTGATAGTGTGATTCAAAGGAAAATGTACTTAGGATATTTACACTATTGTATTGTATGACCAACAAAAATTTATAATATAATTTATTTACAAAAAATATAAACATATCTTTCAAGTATTTCCTCTCAATAGTTTTGTTTACATAATGAGGCTGTAACATTGTTTATGTTTATATATCTTAAAAGCAATTGGCAACGTAGAAAATAAATTGGGGATGTGGTGTATATGTTGTGACGTATGCTCTCAATAAATAAATATTTAATTAAAATGCGGAGGTTCGAATTAATATACACGTATAAAGTAATTTTAAATATAAGATATTATTTATAGATATACCATTTTACGAAACAGCCTAAGTTATGGTAACTTCAAGCATGGTCTCTTTAAATTTTAGTAAATTAGCATTTAAATTCATAGTTCTTGTTCTATCTTATAATCGCATCCGGGTACACCACATAAGTATTTAGTATAATAATCTAAACACCATTTTACCTAGTTAAATGCTTTTGTAGAACTTGGTAGTTAGAGATAATGTATGGCATGACTTGTAATATTATGGAATACCTTTTCGTCACAAACTTAGGTCTGTGGTATTAATAATTATTTATTAGTTAAAACGTGTTATAATTAATAATTCTTCAGTAAACGTGTTTTAAGATGCATATTTTAATGTTCAGTTGATCTTGAATTAATTTTTTTTAGAACTTGATTTACAAATGCGATAAATTACATGGTAAATTTGTCAATAAAGGCCCTCAGCTAGTTTAACCAATTTATATACATATATAGTACTATTTATAGTACTATTGCACTTCATATATCTGTATATGATGTTGTCTCAGATGAACGATTTTTGAATACCCATATATATATAATTTATTAAGAGCAAGAAAAATTGTGCAAAGTTTGTAGAATCTACTAAAATCTTCAATTTTAGATGTTGTTCCAGATGTACGATTTTTGAACACCTATATATAATTTATTAGGAGCAAGAAAAATTGTGCAAAGCTTGTAGAATCGACTAGCTTGTCAAATATTTTAGATCTTCAATATACTCGTTTAAATACTTTAATGATTAGTAATTAAATCTATTCCAGTGCTAGAGTGATATTAATTGTATATAATCTGCATCTTTAATTTAAGAAAGATAAGAGATATGCTTGACATCTTCGTTTAGTATATAGCTTTAAGAGTAAATATTAAGAAAAACAACATTTATTTACACATATGTGCAATTATAGAAGTATAGATGTTTACACATAAAATACGTTTTCGGGTTTAAATATATTAACTTATATAATGTTATTATATAATTTCGTTGAAGTTTTTCATATACTTCTATGGTATAGCTTTTAAATTGTGTTGTACTAATTCCAAGGAATTAGATATTAGTTATATTATTAGATATCTTGCTAATGAAATCATACTTAAGTGTAGGTAAATGTGGATAACTATAATTGAACAATATATCAAACTAGCAAAAAAAAAAAAAATAGTGATATAGTTTTTGCTGCGTTTTGATTAATTACTTTTTTTCTTTATCTTTTTAAGTATCGCTAGAATTTTTAATATAAAAGCTATTTATTAATTCAGTTCCCTAGTAAATGGTTCTCCTAGTATCACAGTACCGGAATTGCGATAAGTGATTTTTTGACACTTTTTTTTTTTAGTTCATTTTCGTTTAAGTTAAAAATGTTCAAATTTTATCATTTGCTGTAGTTTGTGTTTTTTTTTTGTTTTTTATTTTAGTTAATGATAAAAACGTTTTGTAAATATTAGCTTATAAATTTGATAATCACATACGTTTCCAATTTCTTGAAATATATTTACATTTTGTGTTTATTTTGCAGTCGAACGTTACGCTATTTGTAAATCGTTTAAATACGGAAGAATCAAATTTACCTTATGAATATCATCACTATGACTTCTGTGTGGGAAATGAACAAAACTCTCCTGTTGAGAATTTGGGCCAAGTTGTATTCGGCGAACGCATACGTCCAGGTCCATATAAAATAGAATTTTTGGAAGATGTTGACTGTGAAGTGGTAAGTTATTACATTCAATATTTTCAAACTTATTTTTCTTAAGTAAAAAAAAAATAATACACTGAGTATAGCTGAAAATGTTCTTTAGTTTAGGGATCAGACGGGTGAACCTAAAGGAGCCACTTGTTCACTCAGACGAACAAGTGTTGCTGTTGTTGTTGTTTTAGCTTGCAAAGATCTATAAAGCAGATAATATAAAAGAAATTAAAAACACGTATAGATGGGTTGGGTTATGGATAGGTATGGTAGTGTGAGGGGTGAGGGAATTATTTAGAAGTAAAAATAAATAGAGAGATGAGTAGATTCCAAGAATGACCGTATCTACGTCCCGGAACCACTCATTGAGCTGAAGTGAGGTTTAGCAGGTCCCGAAAATGGATTACAGAAACAGATCCGTGTTTGTTTTTAACAAGAACAGATGTCGTTTATTCCTCTTAGCGGGAACATCAAAATCATGTGTTCTGCTTGGGTTACAATAACTAAAGATGCTATTAAACTGTCAGTAACCCAATACTGGTGGTACCATAGCAAATAAAAATTAGGATATAACTGAAAAGATGTAAGAAAATATTGAGGAAATGTTTTCGTGCAATGGCAAAAATTCCTTTTGGTTATAATAATAATTAAAATAATGTTATAGCCAAGTCTGTAGGCTATAGGATCATTGATAGCAGCTAAATATTGTTGTAGCGTAGCAAGTATAAAACGAATGGTAAGCTTAAAGTTAATGATCAATTTTTAATTATCAATTTTAGTATTATCATTATTTTTATTGCTTATAATATATATATATATATATATATATATTATATATTTAATATATATAAATATATATATATATATATTTTTTTTATTGCATATAAATACTGAGTGTGATAACATTAAAAGAATGAGGATTCTTTGATGCTCAAAATCTAAATTAATATTAAAAACCTAGATGAAGGAGGTGTGCTTACTCCTGCAGTAGGATTTTCTTCTTTTCTTGGACCAAAAAATCATATATTTATATGGTCCTTTGTTATGAATTATTCTATATATACATAGAAATATATTTTGTTCTATACTTATAAATTGGAAGAATTGGAAGAATATTTCATTTGTATAATTATTTCAAGAAAATAATTTTACATTAATACAATTTTAGTTGGTCATAGAAATACAAAGAAAATAAGATAGCTGAATATAAATTTAATCATTTCTAGTAACTATTTGTACTTAATTCACAAGTACTTAATTACGTTATCTCATCGATAAGATTTGTGGTATGTATTTCTAAATTTCATTTTTGTTACAATGGTTTTTTTATCGTTATACTACGCGAATAACTTGACTGGTAATTGTGGGAAATGCTGTATTAATAAGCATCCCTAAACGCTTACCTTTCAGATGACACAGTTTTTTTAGTTTAATTTAAAAAGTTCGTATTTTTAATATATGGAGAATCGAATAATCGCATCGAATTTGTATATAATATATTTTCTTTAATAATGTTTAAGAAGGTGGATTTTTAATTCCTGAAAAAACTCTTTCTCTCTGAAGCATATCTTATGCTTTTTGTGTGAAAAAAGATTGAATTATTTGTACATAAACATTATATTTTGTGTCTGCATTGTGTTAATCCTAATATCGATGAACTTTAAAGAACGCAAACAAATTCTGCAGGATCGAATGCATAGGTCTGTAATCTCTTAAAAGTAGAGTGCTTCTATGTTGGAATCCTGATTTACTTTCTTTTTTCACGCCTTTTCTTTTCTTCACATTTTTATGTTATGTATTTAATTTTAATTCTGAATGTGTATCCATAATAGCGAAAAGTAATGCTCTGATCGGTACATCTGTGAAATTTTGTGCTTCCATAATGCTTTTCAGAATAAATATGTGTATTATCGCTATGCTCGTTTCTAATTTATATGACATATTGAGTTATCACTACATGCATTCCAAGCTTTCACATGTTCTGTGTAGGTCTGTTTCTGGATTTAGTATCATCTAGCACTTACTCCATTTTCTTTTACATCACGAGCACTACTGAGTTTGCACACTGACTTGTTCTAAAATTAGTGGCTTTACTTATTCATTCAATGTGAATGATGTTTTAATGTCATGTCTATCACCACATACAGACAAAGATATACAGAAAGATCTAATGGTCCACACTGTCAAAATATACGTATAAAATTGGATGGATATATCAAATAGTATCTATACCATAATTTGGTGACCTGGGCTTTGCGCACCACAAAAATCAAACTTGTTTAATTAGAGAAAAAATTTAAAGTCATTTAATACATATAGTCTATATTATCTATCAAGGAATACTGGTTATATTAATTTGTGCGGGTTTATTGTATTAAATAGGTGTAAATTTCTAACCCGTAATTATAGGTATAACAGTTTTTGTATCTGATATGCATGCCACCTTGAACAAAAAGCGTATGTTATTTATTCAGGAAATTGAAAATACAGCTTTATTCTTGATAGTCGATATTGTTCACTTATGCCAGCACTTGATCCAATCTTCGAAACTTTTTTCAGAATCGGTTTTTTGTATAACCAAGCTTCACCTTGCTATTAATCTTAAAAGGTACATCTGATGGTAGTTCCTCAAACTTTTGGATCAAAATGGTATATAGCTTAAATTCATAAATAAAAAAAAAATGAATAACTGCTGTTTTTTTTTTGTCTATTTTATGATTAGGCTAAGAATTATTAGGGGGATTACAAGGTTACAAAGACTTTTAAATGGAAAATAAAACGTAAAAGGTTGGGAAACAATGATCTGTACTTATGTCTACATAAGTACAGGCGTAAGTTGTGTACATACACATAATACTATAATATCTATAATAACATATCGATAATAATGATATATAAATAATAATAATAGTAATAATAAAAAAGGAATAATGGTAGTAATTAGAAATACATAATAATAATAGTAATAATGAATCAATAATAAATAATATTAGTAATAATAAATGAAGAATAAATAATAAATAAATAATATCGATTATGGAATCATCATTATCATTCGTGACTATACAGTCCATGTAGGACCTAAGCCTGTTTAACAACAGTCTTCCATTCTCCTCTGTTTTTTGCTTTTCTTTTCCAATTTCTTATGTTCATCACTTCTAAGTCCTGCTGCACACTGTGTTTCCATCGTTTTCTTGGTTGCCCTCTTCTTCTGCTGGTTCCTACTTCGTTCTTATAAATCTTAAGCGGTGCTCTCATATCCGGTATTCTTATCACCCATCTTAATCGCTGCTTCACCTTCACCTAGAAGTTCTAGCTCGTGATTGTATCTTATTCGATACATTCCGTTTTCTTTCACGGGACCATCAAATTTTCTGATTATTTTCCTTTCAAAGATTGCTATCTTGCTTGCTTCAGTTTCAGTTCATCTCCATGTCTTGCAGGAATAATTCTTATAAACGATTAATAAATAATATCGATAATTGAATAATTCTTATAAATGAATAATAGTAATAAATAAATAATAATTGAATAATTCTTATAAATAAATAATAATAAATGAATTATAATATTTGAATAATGTTTATAAATAAATCATACTTATAAACGAAAAATACTTGTAAATTATTAATATGAATAATTTAATAATTATAAAAAATAAAATATACATTATGTTATTTATATAATATTATTATAATTAATAAAACAATAATGAATACTGATAATGAATGAACAATAGTATTAAATAAATAATAATAATAAATTAATAATAATAATCAATGAATAATAATAATAAATAAATAATAATAATAAATAAATAATAATAATAAATTAAAAATAATAATAAATAAATAATAATAAAAAATTTATAATAATTTAATAATAATAATTATTTAATAAAAATAAAATATAATAATCGATTATTGAAATAATAAACACTGACAATAAATGAATAACATAATTAAATTAATAATAATAATAAACGAATAATAATTATAATTGAATAATAATAATAACTTAACAAAAATAATAATTATAATAAATAAATAATATTAATAAATAAAGTAATAAAGTAATAATAAATAATAATTAAAAAAATAAATTAATAATAATAATAAGAGAATAATAACAATCAATGAATTATAATAATAATTGGATAAAATTAATAAATGAATAATAGCAATAAATAAAAAATAATAATAAATGAATAATAATTATAATTCAATAATAATAATAATTGGGTAATATTAATAAATGAATAATAATAATAAATAAAAAATAGTATTAAATTAATAGTAATATTAATTAAATAATAATAATAATCAAATAATAATAATAATTGGGTAATAATAATAAATGAATAATAATGCTATATAAATAAAAAAATTATAAAGAATTAAAAATGAAATATAATATTAATAAACACTGATAATGAAATGAAATGGAAAATCAAATAAATTATGTACTCATTTAATTTGGTTATATACACAATTGTTTAAATTGGAACATCATCGGTTGAATAAATTTGTGTTGTTAGAGACGAGATATGGTAATAAATGCCGGAGCATTCTGCAAACAATTGTGTGATTATGTATCTTTTTTATGACACTTGAATAAATATTCAACATTAAATATAAACATTAACATATTTGCACTTTTTTATTTATTGTGATATTTTTACTGGTTTTTTTCGTCAATGCTGAAAAATGTGGTATTAAAAATGCTTTTTTTTTTGATAATACATAAGAGCCTTATAATTTTATTTTAAGTGAAGATAATTTGATAATAAGATTTGATATTTGATTTGAAAATGTTTACATTTCTATATTTTTCTGATATGTCCCACAGAAATTTTATAAATGATAATTAACTTTTATTGTAATTAGATTTTACAACAACGATATGCAAATTTATTAATTGATTTCTCTTGTGTAGGTCTGTAAACGCAATTATACCGGTGGTGATCCGGATAGTGACCGACGTATGATGGTATTGAAAACGGGCATCAGTCTAAATTATCAACATCATTGGATTGTAGATAATATGCCAGTCACATGGTGTTATTCCTTAGAAAATGAAAAGCAATATTGTAATACTGGTTTCCCAATGGGTTGTTTAGTACCTCCAGATAGCGCAGATGGTTGTGCTATTAATTCAAATTACAACAAACGTGGATATTATTATTTGTTCAATCATGTCGATTTACAAATTAATTATCATAGCGGCTTTTCTGAAGAGAAAAGTTTAGGGCTTGACGCTAATGGTGGACGTATTATATCAGTGAAAGTACAACCACGCTCTATAAATCATGCAGATCCTAATAAGCCAGTTTGTAAAAATGCAGAACCATTGGCGATAAAGAGCAGTTCTTTAGTAAAAGGTGAACGTCTTACAATTGTTTATACTTACAGTGTCAAATTTGTTAAGAATAACACTGTTAAATGGTCATCACGTTGGGATTACATTTTGGAGTCAATGCCACATACGAACATTCAATGGTTCTCTATACTTAACTCTTTGGTCATTGTACTCTTCTTATCTGGTATGGTTGCTATGATTATGTTGCGTACATTACACAAGGATATAGCACGTTATAATCAAATGGAAAGTGGCGAAGATGCACAAGAAGAATTTGGTTGGAAATTAGTTCATGGTGATGTCTTCCGACCACCACGTAAGGGTATGCTGTTGTCAGTATTTCTTGGTTCTGGAGTGCAAGTTACATGCATGACTCTGATTACATTGGCGTTTGCATGTTTGGGATTCCTTTCGCCAGCAAATCGTGGTGCCCTTATGACATGCTCCATGGTTTTGTATGTAGCTTTGGGAACACCAGCTGGTTATGTTTCGGCACGTATTTACAAAAGTTTTGGTGGCATTAAATGGAAAAGCAATGTTATTCTAACTTCTATGTTATGCCCTGGGTAAGTTAATTTAAATTATCTTAAATATTGTACAATTTTTATAATAATATAAATAGTTACAAATTTGTAGTCAATGATAGGATGAACAGTGTCTATACGTATTATTTTGGAATTTTGTCTGCGAACAAAAATATATATCTATTAGAGAAATAGTGAAAGTCTATGCAAAAATCTTGACAGAGTCCAGCCAGTGTAGACGCAGAGCGATTTGAAATATGTCTAAAACAGTGCAGAGGAACGTTGTACGTTGTCAGTGCATATATGAAGCTCTCAATTTTCAGTTTCGCTTGTACAAATCGTGAAGTAACATTAGCATGACTTTTTCCGTGTTACATTCCTAGATTAAATTCTTTACACAAGAAAGAATAATACTTCTTAAAAATAACTATAATTAATTAATTCAGTTATTTTACAACTGATTTATGCTTTCGTTCTAATAAGAAACAGCAAGTGAATTTGATAATGAATATTTACAGCAAATAAACAAAATTCTATGTTAGAACATACAAATTAAGCACAGTTTTGAATTAGTTGGCAAATAAACACTGACTCTGAGCTTCAAATTTGGCAGGGCACGAGTTTCAACCCTTGGTACTTTCAGTCTTAAAAATTTTTTTTATGAATACTTAAATATAAGAAATAATTCCAAGACCACTGATAATGCGTATTTGTGAATACTCGAAACATCTGTATGGTCAGCTAAAAACTCAATTATTTAAAAATAAATAAAAATTTTGTTGTTACAATTCACTATTGTTCCAAACCTCTCTATGATTATTATTTATATTTTTATTATTTGTATAAATATCATTTATAAAATGATTATTTATATAATAATTATTTATATAATTATAATAATGATTTTGTATATAATTATTTTATATATAATTATTTTTTATATAAAGATTTTTTATATAATTATTATTTTTAAATTTATTATTTATATGATTATTATTTATATAATCATTTTTTATATAAAAATTATTAATATAATTATTATTGATATAATTATTTTTTATATAATTGTTACTTATACACTTATTTTTTATATACTTATTATTTATAGAATTTTTATTTATATAAAAATTAATATAATTATTAATAATTTTTAATATAATACTAATTTTTTAAATTATTGTATTTTTTTTCAGTATTGTGTTTTGTATGTTCTTCGTTTTGAATTTAGTACTTTGGGGAGAAGGAAGCTCTGGAGCTGTGCCTTTTAGTACATTAATAGCATTATTAGCATTGTGGTTTGGTGTTTCTGTCCCATTAACATTTGTGGGAGCTTACTTTGGATTCCGTAAAAGGGTATAAATAGCATTTATAATATAAAAAACATGTACATTTATACTAATAGTAAATTCTTTCATTACAGGCTTTGGAACATCCGGTGCGTACTAACCAAATTCCGCGTCAAATTCCAGATCAGTCAATCTATACACAACCAATACCTGGCATTATAATGGGTGGCGTTTTACCTTTTGGCTGTATATTTATACAACTCTTTTTTATATTGAGTTCAATCTGGTCTAACCAAATGTATTATATGTTTGGTTTCCTATTTTTGGTATTTCTTATTTTGGTCATTACATGTTCAGAAACCACAATTCTTTTGTGCTATTTCCATTTGTGTGCAGAGGATTATCATTGGTGGTGGCGTTCATTCTTAACGTCGGGTTTTACTGCAGTATATCTGTTTATATATTGCTGTCATTATTTCTTCACAAAATTGCCAATCAAGGGTGCTGCTTCAACATTTTTATACTTTGGTTACACCACATTAATGGTATTTCTATTCTTTTTGCTCACTGGCACAATTGGATTCTTTGCATGTTTCTGGTTTATACGAAAAATTTATAGTGTCGTTAAAGTTGATTAAAACCGTATAGCTTATATAAAAGCCATTATAGCGAATGGGGACGCATTTAAGATGAATAAGATATGTGATTTCAGAGTTGGTTTATAAAATAGGAAAACTGTTTTACATTCTTTCATAAATTTTCCTTTTTTAATATGAAGAAAAAAAAACAAAATCAAATTTGAAAAAATGAATATACGCGCAATAAATTATAATTAAATAATTTTAAATATTTTGTAATATGAAAAATATAAAATTATAAAAAAATATAAAAAATATTTAAATGTAAGTTAAGTCTCTGTATTGCAAAGTTGTGTTAAACTCTATTAAACCTGTTACGTACCAAATGCAATAATGACGAAACGAGAAAACTGCAAGTAAAAACAAGAAAAATAAAACATTTAAAGTATAAAAAAATAAACTATATAAATTAAATAAATAGAAAAAAAAAATAATTTAAAAATTAAATACGTAACATAGTTCTTTTTAAAAATTAAAATCATAAATAAAATAAAAACCGTTTTCATAGAATATTTTTTATAGTTTTCCATTATATATATACTTAAATTTATATTTAATATATTCTTTTATATGTTTTTGTTATTCTTATTTTTGCATAATTGTAGTAAAACCATGATGTAAAAAGTCCGAAACTTAATAGATAAAGTCAAAAACTTATTTTGCAATAATGGCTAAGTTTTTGGTGTCGTCATGTTGTAATTAAATATATAAATATATATATATATATAATACATGTAAACATAAATCGTATAAAATTAGTTTAATAAACTTTAAAAATTTAATTAATAAAAGTAATGTATAGATCTTAAACGAAGAAAGAAATCTTAAAATGTATTATTTTTTATTGAATAAAAGATCAGGCTTGTTACTAGAATTTTTCATGGTAAAAGCTATAGTGAGTGGCTTAAATAAGCTATTTATTTATGAAAGAAATATATACATATTTTTAGTTATTAATTTGTTTATTTTTTTGCGTTATTTCTATATGAGACACATTTTAATTTTGTTCCTTGTAATATTTTATTTTTATATAATTATACTTTATGTTATATTGTGGCTACACTGAGGAAAACATTTTTCCAATTAACTGCAAACCGCAATCTTATGTATAATTAATTATACACTAAATATTGATAATAAAGAAAAGTAAAAGAAATGTTAATATTTTTATTTATTTTATAAAAACCATGAAATATACATTATTAATTTTTATTGTCTTCACTCCATCCTAAAAAGGGGTGTTAAGTTTGTCAAGCTATTGAAAATATAACGAAAAATACTCCAGAGACCGTATTATATATGCTCTAACTGCAAGTTTACTGCATACAACGTCGTTCAATTTGCAATTCTTCGACAGCACATATGAATTTAATTTCAATTGACTTGTGACTGTAAACGTAGACCCTTGTTAGCTTTTAACTTATTTCTTATACCACCTACTTCTTTCTCTCAACTCATATGTTTTCCGTAGAATCGACATCTCATGTCCATTTGATCTCTACTCTTTTTGTTGTACCTTAACCTCTTTTGTGTCATCTGCTTAAACGGTTCGTAAAACGGGTTATCAGACATATATTTGATTTCTATGACTAAAGGAATTGCTCGGGTCTACGTTCCTCGTCGTTATCGAGGAACAAGTGCATTTCGACACCTCCCAAAGAGACTACACAAGCAGGTCCCAGTGGGCTACAACAACAATAACGAGATGAATTTATCTAATAATAATAATAAAAATTTAAATTTTAGTTCAAAAATTTGAATTAAATTTATCCTATGAAACTTTATAGAGATATTTTTTTAAATCTAGACAAATTAATTTTAAGCGTAAGTGTCAAAAGAAAGACCAATTCGAAATGGTCCAAATGTAGTAAAAAAAAATCAAAATATCTTTACAGCCTATGGTACATATTTAAGGTCGCGCTTGGTTCCTGTTATAAACAAACACTAGCCCGAAAGCAAGCACATTTAGGTTGACTATACAGTACATTATGGGATGCGATGAGGAAGAAATGCTATGGTGTGAAATAAGATTAAGAATGAGAAAATACATAGGGACATATAGCTATATTTATGTCATGGCTTATATTACCGCTCACTAACTTTTTCAGGAAATATATCTTATATTGAGAGTTCGCTTTTATAATATTGTTAAAGTTGTGGGGAAATGGATGAAATGGAGGAAGAAATAGTTGAACACCTGTTCTGCAGTTGCCTAGTTCTAGTCAGCCATTAAGTCTTTAGCATCAACATTAAAAAACATCCTACAGTATATTATGGTCTTAAGGTTACGTGTTAAGTGATTCCACAATAAACCTGTAGGGTCTAAAGGAGTTGGTTAATTGGACTAACTCCTAGTAACATCATAGTAGTAACTTAACATCATTTAACATAAATTCAATTATGAATGAAATTTGTTGACTATTGGATATAGCTGATGTGATTCATCAAATATGTATTCTCTTTGAAAACTCAGTTTTAAGATATTAATAGAAATATTAAACTACAATTTTAAATTAAATTAAATTTATTTATCAAATTTAAGCAAATATTTTTGTTTTAATTTAATTCATAGTTTTTCCTAACAATAACAAATAAATTTATAATAAGGTTAGAATGATAATATTAAATAAAATGGTTGGGTCTCATAAAGGTTCGTAAAAGCTAATAATATTATTACGAAAACCATTAATACTAAGGTGTTTAATTTCCAAGAGCGAACGAGTTTATGTTCCAGGCACTTAGTACTCCCAATAGGCATTGTGAAACCAGGCTTTGGTCGTTTTGCTTTTTTTGTTACTTTTATTGGTCGGAATTGTATCGATTACGATTTTGGCAAAGGTACTCTTATTTTCTGGTACTGTTTTGTTTGCGTTATTAAAGTCGGTAGAGTTCTAATTATAGTTTAGTGTAATAGTTGCTATATTTCAATCCATTTCTTATAGGTATAGTTGCATTTACAATGTAATAGACCTGTTTCAAGAGATAAGAACTCTGTGCACTTTAATAATTGCAACTGGCTGATACAACTTTACCTACTCATAAATAACATCATCAACTCGCTGACTCCCGCAATCAATACGCATGGTCTATGCACCTAATAGTTCTTTCCTTTCAAAACTCTATAGTTTAACTTAGGGAGAAGTAAAACCTATATACTGAAATATTTTAGTTGATGAAAAATGTGAAGATAATTGTATAACCCTTAGTAGAGTTCATTGAAATCTGTGATCACAGATTTTGAAATTGAAATTTAGCATATTAAAAACAGCACTTAGTTGAAATTTGGATCAGAGCTTTGGGCTGCCATTTAACCTTCGTTTGAATTCATCTAATATGGCACTGTGTACTTTTTTTTGGTCTAAAAACTGTTTTTGTTTATTAAAAAACTTATTTTAAGATTATAAAAGCTATCCAAAAGGCTTATACTGACATTTTAAATATTATTCCAGCCAACGATATAAATTACTGATTCGACATGCTTTTAGACTATGCAAATTGGTGTATTGAGTCCGCAATGGATGATAATGAATAAAAATCCTAGTATTTATAAGTTAAGTATCATATATATATAATTATTATTTTAAATATATATATAAATATATAATAATATATTTATATTTTTGTTTTTTATATATATAAAAACTTCAAAATTCTTTGGATCACACCTTATTTAAAAGCGTATATAATATATAAACAGTTGGAGTTCTAATGATAAATATATTTAGGACGTGTTGGACCTAGGCTAAGTTGATGCTAAACCAAATAGGACTTTTCTTGAGATTTTTTGCACTGCACACATTTAGCCATTTATCAATACGTATCGAGACATCACTACATTATCGGAACAACTTAGAATTTCTCTCATTTAGAACGGAACTTAGCCTAACTCGCACACGTCCTTAACTTCAAAATTCCTTGGATCACACTTTATATAAACGAGTATTTAATATATAAACACTTAGAGCTCTAACTATGGTTAGAGCTATTTATTTTATCTGTGGCAATCTCGTAATTTTTTGAACATTACTATATAGTACGTTTATACCAGAGGTTACGTTTATATAGAAAGGTACTTCAAAATGTTGAAAGAATCAAAAATTGGTTTTGCATATTGAGACTTTGCTTTACAGAAACACTGGCGCATAATTACTACTAACCCATTCTAATAGAACAGTTGTTAACCGTGGACAAAAGAGTGAAAAATATACATCATTCTCACTTAAAAGGCTTCACCATGCTGACCAGCGTTATACATTGATGTGAATAGGCATGGCATAAATAGTTTATCATAAGTGTTGGCTGGTGACAGTTACTTTTATTCGTATAATTCTATTGCAATGCCAGTGGAAAATGATAGCGACTTTTATGAAGATGGAGACCTTCAATTCAATTCAACCTTTGAAGATGAAGATGTAAATATTTTTCAATGTTCTTGTTTAACAATTGGTGAGGATTTGTTTTTATATGTTGAAGGAAGCATTCGATTTGGATGATTTATTACCGACTATTGGTGAATTTGGTAAATATCAGAAACTATTGGTTTTTGGTATTTGTCTACCTGCCTGCATTCCCTGTGGATTTTGTGCATTTAATCAACTTTTCATGGCTGATACACCAGAGGATTACTGGTGTAAAATACCAGAGCTACATGATTTACCAGTGGACCAACAAAAAAATTTGGCTATTCCGCAAGTTGTGGTGAGAAAATATATATATAAAATTTGTAATAAAATTGTATGACAGGAAGCCATACGCACTATTCTGACTGCTTGTGAAGGAAAAAGAAAACAGAAAGAGGCAAAAATAAACGTTCGATTCCTAAGGAATAAATTATAGAAAGGTTTCCAAATTATATTGAAGGTTGTTCAATTAATATATAAAAACCTTTGCAAAATCAATTAAGAAGGTTGAAGTGGAAAGTTGAAAATGGCAAAAATGATAAGACATATGGTGATTTAAAAAAAAATTATTTTCCATGTACATATATTGAAAATTTTTTAACGAACAGCCCTCTCGAACGGACACGGACCTTTTGAATGGATAATTTTTCTAATATAAAAATTTATTAAAATAAAATTTTAGTACCTTTTGAATTGATACCTTCTAATATAATAATTTTCTAAAATAAAAATTGTTCATCTAAACCTGATATCCGTTCCTGTAAAGTTCTGCTGTGAAATCTTTTAAAAGATTTGTTATAAGTGCGTTAACATAATATTTGTGGTTTATCTAACATATAAAATATAAAATCTCTTAGTTTTTTCTTATATGGTAACTCAATGAGCCTATATGCCTAAGTGGATCCCTCTAGATTGACGGTACAAACTAAATGTATATTAAACATATGATTAGACAGTGAAAACTTTTCTTCTACTTTATTGTTGAACGGACATTCGTCTTTGACAGACAAATTTCTTATTTTTTTGAGAGATAATTGAATTTCTTTTAGTCGCACACTCCCGTCAAGCGGATAAAAAATGGGTAACAATAAATGTTCTCTTAAGAGAGTCTTCACTGTATTAAAATAATATTCAAAATTTGCATCATTTTGAACATGCGAGTCCATAGTACAAGTTTGACAGTATTCAATTCCTGACACTTGAAGTTCAAAAATTTTCCTTGGAAATAGATGTTTCCAGAAATTTCACTTTTTAATAATATTAAAAACAATATTAATATTAAAAATTGAAATTTCATCACTCTTACCCCCTTCTTCAAATGAAATGGAGTTCTTGTCATAGACAATAAAATAACTATTTAATATCGTTTAGATTATCTTATAACCCAGTTTTATTCTTTCAGGAACATGGTATTGAAACTTATAGTAAATGTTATAAGTACGCTGTTAATTGGACCGAAATACTTGAAAATTCCGACATTAATGATATCAGTGCAAATATAACATGGGCTCATGAGAAATGTACCGATGGCTGGGTATATAATACCACAACTGTTTGGTCATCTATTGTTATTGATGTATGTTACAGGCATAACCTGAACCCTGCCTTCCTTCATGATAAAGCATTTAGATACATATGGTTTTCATTTTCATTTCAATGGCACATTGAATTGAGTATCAATATATCATTTAATCAATCCTCATTTAGTACGCAAATAAAAACATTAAAGGTTTCAACTGCAAAAGATGTTCTCAGCTTTTTGATATTAATTATGAACATCAATCAATCAATCAGTGAGCATCAATCGTAGCAATCCTGAATGCAAATGATTAAAAAGTATTCTAGAACTTAAATCCTTAATAGTTTGATTTAGTTTGTGATCGGGACATTTATCCAACAATTGGCTTAGCTGCTTTAAACACTGGTGGACCAGTTGGTGTGTATCTTTTTGGTTTATTGAATGATAGAGCTGGCCGTCGTACATCCTATTTTACTTGCTTAGCTACATTGCTATTGGGAAGTCTTATTACATCCTTAAGTACAGATTTTTGGACTTGGGCGGGCAGTCGTGTTATTGTTGGTCTAACCATACCGGCCGTATATCAGATACCATTTATAATTTGTAAGTAATATATAATAGTATTATCTTTCCAATATTTTTATATTCTTTTCTGATATTTTCTACTATCATTATATATATTAGCACTTGAACTTGTGGGTGAAAACTATCGTTCTTTTGTGACAGTTATGACTTGTACGTTTTATACGTCGGGTATAATGCTATTATCGTTAGTAACATATTTGGAAAGAGATTGGGTAAAATTATCGTATTACACTTCAGTACCATTTTACAGTTATTTTTTGTACTTATTTGTAATGCCTGAGTCTCCTCGCTGGCTCTTAATGCGTGGACGTCTTGAAGAGGCTTTAAAAGTACTAGAACGAATGGCGCGCGTTAATGGACGAGAATTTCCACAAGTAATCAAATCAAAACTGGAAGCTAGAATATCACGTGAAAAATTTAAAGAAAAAAAGAAATCTTTAAATGTTGGCGTACTGGACTTATGTCGGTAAGTACTTTTAAAACGCCCAATCAAAACAAAAAAAAAAATTAAGAAAAATTTTAATTGTGTATATATTCCAGTACTCCAAACATGCGTCTAAAAACTATTTTAATAACCCTTAGTTGGTTTGCTAATGAAACGGTTTACCTAGGTTTAAGTTACTATGGACCTTCGTTGGGTAGCAATCAATATGTTAGTTTCTTTCTATCGGCAGTGGTGGAAATACCAAGTTATTTATGTTGTTGGTACTTGATGGATTGCTGGGGCCGTCGCTGGCCGTTAAGTTTATCGATGATACTGGGGTACGATTGTAAGATGTTGTATATATAAGAAATAGTTTTTTTGTATATTATATGAATAGCAAAATTGTACAACTTTTAGTGGTGTGGCCTGCGTTATTACAGTGATGATACCAGATGAAGCTGTCGATGAAACGCTCATACTATACCTCATTTCAAAAGCACTATTATCTGCTTCATTCTTAATAATTTATCCATTTGCTGGTGAATTGTATCCAACACAAGCACGTGGAATTGGAATTGGGGCATCAAGTTATATTGGTGGTTTGGGTTTAATAGTTATACCATTTGTTACTTACTTGGTAAGTAAGAGATATATATGCAGAATAAATTAAATTTCATAATTAAAAAATTTTTTATTTTTATATTATAGGGAAAGGAAAATCTTAAACTACCATTAGTCATAATGGGTTTCGTATCAATGCTTGGAGGACTTACTGGACTTAGGCTACCAGAAACACTTCATCATCGTTTGCCGCAAACGTTAGAAGAAGGCGAAGAGTTTGGAAAAAATTGGTCAATGAATGATTGTTTGCACTGTCGACCCGCAGAGTAATTATAAAAATTTCATTATTACAAGGTTGTAGAAGTTCTATGGTTTTTTATTTATTTTCTCTTTTAGACCAGTACCATCGCAGCCTGCATCTTATGAAAATTTAGATGTATTAGCTTCTAATACTGCTTCAGATGTTGAACTCGAAATGAAAGCGACCGGCTTATCCGGAAAGAGAAAACGACCCAGATCTATTATTGACGAACGAACACCACTTGATGAAAATCGGCCACAACGTATTTCCATGAAACGTTTAGTACGTCAAATGAGTGTAATGGATACACAAAAGACACATGATGGCACTATGCAATTGACACATTGGATATAAGTGATACATTTTTAGAGAAGTACAGTCAATGTCAGTATTTTGGTATAGAAATTTAATTTGTACAAATTTAGAAGCGCAATTAAATGTTTAAATATTTAAACAAATTGAAAATAAATGGGAGTATTTAAGACTTCAGTCGGTGTTTTGTTTGTGGGTATAAATAGTACATTTATAGATAAGGAAACAGAAAAGAGAATAATAATGTTTTCTTAAAAGGACTTCTTTCATATAAACTACTACTTATATTTAGCGTAAAAATATCTTTAACTAATAACTTGAAGTATATCCTCAAGAAAAGAAATTATGTTTACTGTGTGTTGGTAGTACTGTGATGTGTCATTTCAATGAGTTTCGTTCATATATTTTTGCAATTATACCTTTTAGTATAGTGCGATGGCTTATTGTATAGAAGTTTTTAGTAAGTCAAAGATTGTGTTCGACCAAGAAATGTTCTCACCTTTTATGACCCCGTGGAACTGTTTTCTGTTCTGAACTAAGGTTACTACTTTCAGAAACAGTACTTTACGTCGATTGTTGCAATAAAAGAATTATGTTTAATGAGTTCAGTTCCTCAGCATAATTAGCCTACGAAATATGGTATGTATAATATAAATCGATGTTATGGTCTTTACCTAAAAGCTTTTTGTAAGTTTTTTTAAATAAAAATAGTTTTTTAGTTTTTAAGTGATATTTATAGATATAAAATCTTCACCCGGGATGGAACAAAAATTTAGGCTTCGTTGTTAGTTAACTCGACTTCTTTTGTCCTTATAGTCAGGGCATAACTTCAATTATTTAGCTAGGACCATTTTATTATTTGAAAGTTTTTCAACTATTTTAATTTTAAATACATATATACACAAATATATATTCAATATTAATTTTCGAGCCTGACGACACTTTCTTGTCTTTTTATTCCTTTTTTTTACATTGCTTTCTTCATTTTTCTTTAAAATTGCTGTTTTACTCAGATATATGAGAATGAATTAAATTATGCACTGACTGCTTGCATGAGTAGGGAGAAGAGGTTCTTTTTTTTTGCAATTGATATAAACTCCATTTAATTAGTAGCTATTAGTTGATGTACAATTAATTCATGTAAATTATTTCATAGGAAAACAAATGCAGCTGGCGCCTGTAGTGCTTAATTACGAAATTCTGCCAGACTTTAATAGTGGATTAATTTATGATGTATTGGTATTTTTTTGTTTGTTTTTTCTGATTTAAAAATACTACTATAACTTTAAAGGTGCAATTTCCGTATAACAAAAAATTGCAATAAAAGTCATAATAAAAATTAAACTCACATAATCATTATAATTCAACAAAGTTTATATTTCATTAAATATTTATAGTAAAATAAATTAATATTTATTAGATATTTCTATTTGATTTTATAAATATTGCATTATTTATACCAATTATCACTATTGCGACAGGAAAATAATATCAATGTCAGTGCCACAGTAAAAAAGTTGTTTCCACATACGCATTTTCATTGCAGTACTTACTGTGACAATAGTTATTTCTATATAAAATACTTAAAATATATACAATATTTATACTATAATAAGACGAAATCATATTATTAAGTTTAGTAAATAAACTTTTATTCCCAACACTATTGGTATTTGTTAAAATAATACGATACCATACTGTACACTTGCTTATGGTGCATATAGAGTGGTTATTCCCCATCTAAAAGTGTACACCAAGTAATAAGCGTTTGTGATGGCTATCCTCTAAATATGACATATCTTTGCTAAAGGTATCGACATGTAGGCAATATTCCTATTTTTGTGGCGTCTGGATTTTACATTGGATTTAGCGAAAGATGTTGCTTAGAATAGAAGACTTTACTTGAATTGGTTTTCAAGTCGGTGCGTTGCAGTTGGCACCGGATTCTAGATTTCATGACCATTTTTTTTTTGTTTCAGTAAATGATATAATATTGTAATATTGTATATAATGAACGGAACTTAGGCTTTGTTCATCAGTTTTAATATACATATAAATAAATAAATAAAACAGAATAGTATTAAAATTAAACAAATAAAAATAAAAATATAATTAATTAATTAATTCAATTATTCTACAGCTGGTTTATGATTTCGTTCTTATATAAACACAGCAAGTAAAATTGTTAATAAAAACTTTAATAGCAAAAAGAAACAAAACTCCAGAAATATATGCGAACATAATAAGTCGAGTACGGCTTTGGATCAGTTGGTTAAGGTGCGCTGATTCTGAGCTTCGCATTTGGCAGGACCTGAGTTCGATTTCTGGTACTTGCAGTCACAAAAATAATTATTTATGAATAATTAAATACAAGAATTATTTCCAAGACCACTGATGATGGGTATTTGGCAATACTCGAAACAGCTGTATGGTCAGCCAAAAATTCAATTTTCTATGAGTCCCCGTGTCGTTTTTTGTTACGCCCATATATATCAATATTTATATTTATAACCGCATACTAAAATATTTGTAATAAATAATTTATTGTATGTATTTTTTGTCATTATAAACGATAACTTAAATATATTTTGGACCATTAATATTGATTAAAAGAATTCATAATATATTAGGTGATCGAGTTAAAAATACAATAATGTTCCCCATCTAATTCTCTTGTAAGTGCTTCTTTTGTCACTTGTTTATAGTGAATTTTCTTCCATCTTGTCATTCTCGAATTTCCGAATTTGGTAAGATTCATCGGTTAATAGCACTGGGCCGTACATTTTCCGTAATTTTTTTTCCTATATGTTTAAGCGTAGCAAGAGGGGTTTAACAAGGGACAAAATTATTTTAAACAATTTGCAAATACATTTGAAAGGTGACAAATGTTTCCTACAATAGAAACATGTAATGTTTCTAATACAGAGAACGATTTGATTTAAATTTAATTTCTTTACCCGGAGCATAGTTCTGAAATTTTAGAATACTCAATAGCTTAAATGGAATGGATTTGAAGAATATATCTCGAGTAAAGCAATTGAAATAGCAATAGACATAATACGATCATTCGCTGTGTCCAGTTATGAGAAAGCAGTCTATAAATACATTAGAATTTCTAGGACAATATGATTATACATTAATCAAAGTCAATGGATCAAATGATTTCTTAACTGAGTAGCCATGTTAGCAACCTACAGTTCTTTGTTGACAAACTTAAATGATGTGATAAGTATCGTAAAAAAATTATTATGGATGTTGAATCACTTACCAAAATGAGACCTACTAATAGGTCTCTAATATTTATGGGTGTTGAAAAATGAGACCTACTAATAGGTCTCTAATATTTATGGGTGTTGAAAAATGAGACCTACGAATGTTAAAAATTAGAAGCTATTGGATTACATTTAATGAAATCAGTTTTAAATTAAAACTTAATGATTTCCTACTTTGATTTAGGAAATATGTTTATCTTTTTTTGCAAATTAAGGTATATTATATATGCCAAATAATAGAATAAAATTCACGGTAGTAATTGAATACTACAGTTAAGAATATAATTTAATATTGTAGGAAGTAAATCTCTGTTGACTTCCCTCTCAAAAACTGTATTTCTGTTAAAAACTGTGATGTAGTTTAGTTGAACAATTGTATTGTTGTGCAATTATTTATTTAATGAACATAATTTATGAAATTCGTTTGCCATTAGCCAATTGTTAAGACGTATATGGAAGTTTAGTCATCTTGAGATCGAATGCGAACGCGAACGCAAGTGTCCGTTCTGTCCGTTCTGTCCGATTAGGCAGTAGTGCAGCTGTATTTTTAGTTCGAAACAAGCAACGTAATTAAGTCAAAACTAATGCGAATTGTAGGGAATTTAATAGTTAATTTAATGCAAGTACATCTTACTCATTGTCAATGCACAAAGGAATTCAACCTTGCGATTTCCTTAAATAGCGATCAAATGTAAGCAGTGGCCTCGCATTATATTGTAAATTGTAAACTGTAAACTGTGAACTGAAAGAATAACATACATCAGCAACAAAGAAATTGAAAAAAATATTGTTAAATGACAATTAAAATAGTTACAAAATATTAACTAACAACGAAAAAAATTAGAAGCCTTCAACGCAATCAGTACAACATGTTCTTTTATTTTGTAATCCAATATTGTCCAAATTCTTGTCCAGAGGCGAATCTAGAGTTCAAGCCTCTAAATTTGCAGCAATTCAAAGAACTTTTACAAAAAGTTTTAATTAATGACGTAGACATTGTTTCTATAGATCTCTCGGTTGTTCTAGTCTAGATTGGACAAAAAAGTAGCAGTCAGTACTGACGGGCCACTGCATAATAGCTAGGCATGCTATGAAATTGGGTCTACTCCACAGTGACTTTTTTCACGATTGTGGCTCTGAGAAAGATGAGGAAACTGTGCTCCATTTTATGTATCATTAAAATCGGACACAGCTCAAGCTAGAAAAAGATCTAAAATCTTTGGGGTGCCTTTTCTTACTGACCTAACAGAGTTGTCATGTTGCGAAATTGGGAACCAAATTCAAAGAACTGTCAAGTTGGTTGACCTGTACTTAATGGAGTGGTGATATACTGCATTATTGCGTTTCAGCCTTGGTCGTATATTGACTTTTTAGACTATGTACGAATCAACGAATCAATTTCCTGTAGTACCACAACGGGCTATTGTTTAAGATCAGATGAGCTTTGTTGGACACAAGGCCGCCACTTGTAGTTGAGTTACAAGTAAAATTCGAACTTAAAAAACTTTAGAAATAGTTAACAAACTTAAAAAATAATTGAAGGTAGTTATTAATAATATTATTTGGATAGTGCGAAATTAGAGGGACAATCAGTTAGAGTAATAATGATTATACCAGACGAGGTGTACTCGAAAAATATTTCTTTCTTTAAAAGTATTTATTTAATCTTTAATGTTTATACCAATCCCTACACAATAGTCCCCTACACAATAGTGATATTATATACTTTTGTCGCTACAGTTTAAGAAATATTATTGGAACATCATTTTGGGAATAAGGTTCAGTTTGCTGTATTATTGTCTTTGGAGAGTTACGTCTTAAAAAAAAAATGGCTACGGCTTTGCAGTGATGTTGTGTTTCACCGCGACTTGTAG